GCTGCTGCCACACAATGCTCGCCCGGCGCCGCCGACCCTTACGAGACGATTGTCCGACGCCCGCGCGCGCCGCCGGCGGCCGGACCCCACTCGGCCGCCACTTCGTCCGGAGCCGGCGCGCCCGGCTCACCAGCTGTCGAGCGTAGGCGACTATTTGCACAGGGCGCGCCTTAAGTGCGCTCGTGCGCCCATTGTGCCGGCAGGAACTGGCCATTATGTGCTTGGTCGTTTTGTTTTCTTGCGTGCGGCATGTGGATATAGCTTCCTGCGTGGTTTTTAGTGGAGCAGTTTCTAGACGCCGGTGAAACGTTTTGCGAGTGAAACGCGGTCACCGAGGGAGAAATGATAATCATTATGATAGCAGTGGCCAGTCAGGGCCAACGCAGCCGTCATTGTGCTCCTAATGAGATGTCCGGGGACCATGGGGCCAGACAGCGAGGATTAATAACCAATGAAGGTCGGCAGGTGATTTGTGATGCGCATTGATATGCAGCTAGCAGCGCGCACCGCGCAGTTACGACATCCCGGCCTGTTCCTGACATCGTCTTGGTAAAAATTCGATATATACATTCGCATCAAAAACGTCCTGTTTGCGTTTACTTAAAAAATGACCAATTCGGCTGTTTGCTTCGGATCATGGCCGTCTTGAGGCAACTCATGGCCCATAAGATGCCAGTCCAGCGGCCCCGTCTCGTTCGGAGGAGGACGGGGCAAGCAAGTGGATGTCAGCCAAGAAATGCATCACTTATCCAGCGCGACTGCTGGCGGATCGGAGCGTAATAACCAGACTGCACGAGACTAGCTCATCATCTCCGGGCTCAGACATGTCCGACTAAGCAAGACAAACGACTAAGCAAGACAAATGGAGACCATTATATCCGGACGGCTGCTCTGCATTTGCCCTTCTAAGCAGCAGTGCAGGCTGGGGAGCTGGTCTCAATTCACGTGGATACTTGGGCACGTCAGTGGCAGGCTTGTACCTCTCAGCCCCAGTCGAGCGGAACCTACGACGACTTGACGCTTAGACTCAAGTGATAAGTTGAATTCAAGACAAATGTGTGATGCTCAGATGATTCACAACTCGCAGATGCAACGTTGGCTATATTTGTAGCGGTAGATCGTGCCCCGGGACAGTGTGTCAACATGCACACCGGGTAGGGCGATGATTCATGCCCGAGTGAGGAGAACGGTCAGGGCTCGGGGCGGTGCGTTTCCCCGTGGACACGCCGACTGGGTGGGACACGGCGGCGCCGGCCAGTCGCACGCAGGTCGTGTTGCGGGTATGAGTCTTGGAAGGGGTATAAGAGGTGCTGCTCGGGCGTGTAGGGGGTCTCTCCCTGTCGGCGTCGTGTGCGGCAGTTCACCGTTGTGTGCGAGGCAGTCCGGCCGGGAATTGTTTAATCATTGAATACAATGTTGCATCCTTCCTTAAGTAATAAGTGCATTAATCTCCTACGATAAAATGTGCATGCCACTTACACATCCCCTGCCGTAAGCAAATGATGTTATTCACATCACAAGCTCACGCGTTGCAGTTCCTGGCTTAAGGCTGGGCCTCAAAGAACTCACGGACCCTAGCGTCATCTGCTGCGAGAGCACTGCTCGGGTGTCACTGGCACCCACAATTACAGACACTCGGGTATCGCTGACACCCGAGCAGCGCGGTGATGTGCACGTGCCACGAGTCCCCTGTGCACGTGCTGCCCCGGCCCTCTCATGTTCCCCGCGGGCTGGCCGCCGGCCGCCGCCAATTAGAGCCCCGCGGGGGAGCCGCGCCGTCCGGCGGGGACACCGGAGTCGCCGTCACGTGACCGTGACGTCAGCGCCGCCCTCCCGCATCACCTGCCCGGCCGGGGCACGTTATCGGTGTTTGGCGATCGCGGACGGGCGGCCGCCACCTGCCGGCCTCAGGCGCCGACACCCGGTGCGGCGTCCATCTGCCCCACGAGCGAGGCCAGCCGGCGGCGCGGCTCCCGACCGACCGCCGACCGCAGACTCAGGAGCCGCGGTCGCCGCGCTGGTCACGCGGTCACCTGGGTCGCGCCCGGCGCCCGCCCGACCGCCGGACGCCGCCGCAACATTTCCGCCGTAGACGACGGCGGTGACGGCGACGGCGACGGCGGCAGTGGGGCTGGGGAGCCCGGCCTTTACGGATACCGCTTCCGGCACAACCGTCATCAATTACCGCCGGCATTCGGAGCGGGAAAATATCCTGTCTCGCGGACAACGCGTGCCGTTTCAGAACACTGTTTACATGGGGCATTGAAGCGTGACGTTCGCCGCGCGGGATGGCCGGCTTCACGCGCGCATCACCTGGGCCCAAACTAAGTGCCCCGGGGGAGGGAGGGCGGAGGGTGGGGGACGCCGTGTTCCGACCCTCGTGCGAGGTCGACCCGCGCTTATTGGTGCAGTTTTTGCCGCCGCGCGTGACACGCCTCTGATGCGCCGAGTCGGCCGCGTGGGCCGGAGTCGCGTGACGGACGCGAGGCTGACATAATTCACCGGGCAAAAAGCCGACGAGGGGCGCGAGCTCGACCTGCCATGGCTCCCGCCGTGCGCGGATGAGTTCGCGGTGCTGGCGAAACGCAAAAGTAGAAATGACGCGAGGCGGCCGTCGTTCCAGTCGCTGCAAACGACGGTGCGCCTGCGACATCCGCTACAGAGGGCGTTGGCTCACACGCGGGCCGCGCGACGGGCGGAGCGCGCGCGGCGCTCCGACGCGTCTCCGGGCCGCTCTCTCCGGGCAGATCCGGCCGGTTCCGCGAGTCGAGCGATCTGACGAGCGACGACGCGCCGGCAGCTGCCCGTCACCGGGTCGCGGCCGGCAGCTGCGGGATTAGCCGGCACGCCGCCGAATCTGACGCTGCATCTGCCGCACGGCCGTGCCGTCTCCCGGCAGGTGACGCGTTCGGACGCTTGCACGGCCCGGCACTCCGTGACCGCGCCCGCATCCCGGCAGGTGGGCGGCAGCTGACGGCGACGGCCCCGTGTCCGGGCATCTGTCGCCAGCGGACGGCGTGAGCGGCTACTTAGCGCCGGCGCGCCGCGGACAGACGGCAACACGGGTTGCATCTTACGCGCTGCGGCTGCGGCCGCCTCGGAGCGCGTCAGCTCAGTTGGGAGTGCGCAGAGGCTGAATATGGTGGAGCCACTTCGCAAGTGGCACGTCGCCGCTGTCGCGTGGGCGCACAACAGGGCTCTTCAAACACCCCGAAGTGTGCACAGCGGTCTAAATATAAACCACTTTAAACCAAATTCAGACCGGCCTGGCGGGCGTACACAGGAGCGGACCGTCATGTGACGTGAGGGCAGGCAATGCCCGTCGCTGCTTTCCCACGTCTTCTCGGTACACCAAGTGCGCCGTCACGGAGCCGCTCATGGCCGGCCCCGGTCCGGTGCGGACTGATAGCCTATCGCCTCCTTCCGTCGCGCTCGGGCATGTTCAGCTGTCACAGACATAACCCGCATGCGCCTGCCAAGCGAACCAGCAGGGATGGACGCGCGACGGACGCCTGCCTCGCCTGCGCAGCGATTCGACCGAGCCCGTGGAGAAGCCAGAGCTGTCGTACTCGACAACGCGGTGGGTTACAAAGGCTGTCGGGCTGCAGCTCCCGACACGCTGGCCTGAGGTCCAGTCCGGCGTGAGCGCCTGGCAAACGTAGCGGCGGGGCACGGCCGCGACGCCGTGTAGCCGACCTGCACGCCCCAGCGCCGGCACCTCCCCGCACGTACACGCCGGCGCGGGGACAGAACAATCGAGGCGGCCGTTTCCGGTGCGTCACTGCCGGTATTTACTCCGCGACGTAATTGCCCTCACACTTCTAATTACGCCCTGCGAGCTGCGACGTTGCAGCGGCGGTTGGCCGGAATCTCAAGGGTGAGGGCCATGTGGCGAGCCGTGGGTGTGACGGTTGGGCCACGGGACATCCGACCTCCCTCCCCTCCCTCCCACGATGACCGAGGCTGTGCGGGCCGTGCCTAGAGGTCAGAAGGTCAGGGTCGCTGTACAGGATTGACGTCCATGAGCTCCCTTCCCCGTGCTAATCTTCACTGCTCCTTCCGTCGCCATGGCTCCTTACCGCAAGCTCAGCCCTTCGTGCTTGTGCAGGCGGCGTTGTTGCCCTTGGCCTTCGGGATATTTTTAAGTCGTAAAATGATTTTGCGAATTAAAAAAGGCTCACCTTGCCGCCAACCCCCGTTCATTGAAATAATTACTGGCCTGAGCAGCTTGGGTAATGGTGGGAGAACTTCTAGCATAATTACTTTGTAAGACGATTCTAATTGCCATTTGCTGGCAGCGAAAGTCGCCGGTGAATGATCACCTTCTGGTACAATGCTACTGTTTCTTGTAAAGGTATTTAAAACGCGATAAATACGAATGACGAAGCACGTTTTGACTTACGTTCTGTTACGAACAAAGCAAATACACCGTCCAAAAACCTAAATAATTTGTACTTGTTTGGGGTACATAGAGGAGGCTTTGTCTGCATACTAAATCACCCTCAACTACGTAAAAAATAATTTATTTTCAAAATCCATGCTATGCACTACACGTTCAGTTTCTTTTCAAACCTAAAGTGAAAGACACTGAGCAAGTGTCCAGATTCGGAACATGTGCTTGCAATGCCCGCCGTTATTTACTAAAGGTGTCCCAGTAGTGTCAACGGCTTTAAGATGGCATGCCAGGACGGGCTAAATTTTATGTAGTAATGTGTCTCATCGTATCCCACCCCGGCCCCGTGAGAAATGTGACAATATGCACTGTAGATCGGCCAGTAGAAAAGTGGATCTGGCTAGTTCAGGACCCTACTCCGTCTCCATGACGCCTATCCCACACTAAGCAGCAGCTCCTCAGATGTCACGCTGTCCTGCGGGAGATAATGACTCCTCCAGCCACACCCGGTCCGCCGCAGAGACCGCGGTGGAGGACGCGGGAGCTCCAGTGGATCCAACGGTCCGCCCAGCCTGAGTCCAGCTGCTCCGGCCCGCGCGGCACCCACCTCGTCCAGCAGGTGGGCGTACGTGTTGTGACGGTCCTGCGACTTGGCCAGCAGCTCGGCCAGGTCGGCGCGCAGCTGCGTCAGCTGACTGCCGTCGGCACGGCGGTGCGCGCGCAGCGTCTGCACCGAGTCCTCCAGCGTGCGCACGTCACCTTCCAGCAGCGCACTTCGGGCCTCGCTGTTCTGCAGGACAGCGGCTCGGGTCAGCGGCTGGTGCGCGCGCGCCCGGCGTGCGGCTCCACGGTCAGAGACGCGTTGTCGGCAACGAACCAATCCGGACTTACCTGCATTGTCCGTCAAGTTAGCCACACGTACACCCTTGCAGATTGCGTGACATGTTCCGGCCCTTATTCCCTTTTATATTTAAAATTGCGTTATCAAATGGAGCGAGCTGTGAAAAAAGCATCCGTACATGGCAACATCGACTCCACTGCGATGCACATGGGGTTTTAAACTACAATAACAGCAAACTCTTGATTGCAAACAAACGTTCTTTAATGGTGTTCAAGCGGGAAATTATTTCAACTCTGCATTATCAGCCTGAACCTCCGTTGACGTTTTGCGGTGTGCACCATGCGATGACAATACCGACATAAGATGTGGAAATGTGCATTGTTAAAGTCACATAGCAAAAATACGTTTGCACTACATCTTAATTTACGTAACTCAGCATACAATCGGAATCATGGCGATCCGTCCTCCGGTCTCTGGTACCAGTTTTAGAGGATTAAATCCCATTCGTGGATTGTAGTATCCTCGCACGAGTGGTGAATAAAAGTTTATTCGATTTTACCAGACCATCAACGTTAATCCCAAAGTATCGAAGTCTCCAAACATTACATGCAAGCATAGCATCACGCCGATAGCTTAAGCACAAACTTGAGCCATTCATGAATTGAATCAGCATTAATATACACGCCACTTATCCTGTAATCAGTTAACGTCCGAAGTATGTCGAACGCTGAAGCACGTGTTACCGCTAGCTCGGGAAACGCCTAGCAGCATACTTGGTAGTCACCAACCCTCGTTGGTAGCAACACCCCAAAGATGCGGCGAAGGACCGCACTGACCTGCTGCAGCTGAAGCAGCCTCGTCACGTTGAAGCTCTCGGCGAGGTCGGCCACCTGGCCCTTCAACATTGTGACCATGTCCTTGAGCCACTCGACCACGGTGTGCTCGGAGCCGTTGTCGTCGGCGACCCTCGCTGCTGACGCCTCGCTCGCTTCCTTCAACCGGCGAATCTCCTGACTGTGAAGACACGAGCGAAGACGCCGTCAGCGCGCCAGACGCGGAGCACGGCGTCAGTCCGCCGCCATGGCCGCGGTAAGGCCGGACGAACTCGGAAGTGGCCAATCGAACATTGGTGGAGCCATGCGTCGATCAGCCAAGGGTTCACGCAGATTGTCGTCACCGCGGTAAAATACGCTCCGTTGCTGCATATGGACATTTCACGAATAAATATCTATTGTGTATGCTTGATGGAACACGACGCACAGGTAGTATCCACAAATGAGCCAAAAGGAACAAATGGAAAGGCTCAACGCAAAATCTTGGCAGGGGTTTCCGTAAGCCGTGGGGTTCAGTTTTAGATTTGCTTGCACCACGATTACGCAAAGTTATGCAAATTTATATGTTTACCACCACCTTGGAAAAACCCAAGGTCCGGACATGTTCGATGACTCAGAACTAAATGATTTAGCAATCCTTGAAGATTACATCCATCGAAGACACATTTATTCGTGAAAAGTGTCCCAGATACTGAAGTGGCAATCAAGATTACCTCGTGCGACCTAAAACAAATCCGACAAGGCTATCAAAGAAACATAAAACTAGTTCTAGCTGGGGTCTAGCCATGATTTGCCCAAGACATGTAAACTTATGGTTTTCACACGATTCGGGCAATTAAACCGCTCATTCATCACGCGTTATACGAATGCGCCAAAAGTCGGGCAGGCAGCATGATCACTGTGCGGTGATCATTTCATCGATTAGCCAATAACAAATGGTGGCTCAAACCGGCGGGTGGCATTGCATCATAGCAATCGAACTGGAAAAATCCTGCCGCATAGTGGCAAAGGTAATGTTATCAATGAAAATGTTGGCTGCTCCACTGGACAGTAACGCGCCGGGCTGGTGTAGCATGATCAGATGAAAGTGTTGGTCGATTATGATGGCAACATTTGGCATGAACAGCATTGAATAACCAAACAACGCCTTCAAATAATATGCAGCCAACATTATAGAAACATTAATAAAAAAGTAAAGCGGAACAACTCGGCGCGAACCAGACAAACAGAACATGTCACGCGAGTTATGCACATCAATGCGTTCGAAGTATGTGTCCCAATAAGTCAGCACGCGCACGCAGCCGGGTTCAACACATCTAAGCACACAATAACACACCAACGTAAGCAGCGCGGCACACAAAAACGTACGCCCAAGCACTCGCTTATAGCTAACCAGCTTGCTAGATGCACCAGACGAATGTATCCATACAACTGCTATGCTACAGTTCGCCCAAGCGTGTAAACCGAAGCAGCGCAATCTAGCCTTCATATGCTTAAATGTTAACTACCATAGGGTTTGAAAGAAACGCATAACCCTGCACCGCTTTGGGCACCACCTCCAGCATCACGGTCTTATTTTTCTCTTGCCGTCTCCGCATTTCGAAAAACTTGACCATTTTTTTTTTTGACGATATGCCGGACAGTTTTTTGGTTCTGAGACCGCCTTGCGAAGCTGACCCGTCGCATCAGGCGGCACCACGCGTAGCCTAGAGGAGTACGTTGGAGAGGTACGCATCCTGCGTACCTCTCCGACGCGCGGCTCCACGCCGGATCTGGCAGGCCATCATTCGGAACTAGCGTTGATAGTTGCAGGATGCTTGCACCGTTATTGCAAACATTCCGCACCCTGTCGCCGCCAGTCTATCGTCACCCTGTCTGGTATCGTGGAACACACGCTGGTGACAGATAACGCCAGGAAACTCGGACGAGGGCCGGCCAGATACGGACCGCGCTCCAACAGAGGAGGTGTGTCTGCCGTGTGCACGCGCAAGCCGACTGTACCTGTTGTCCGGAATCTTGTGTGTTCTGCAGCACCCGCTTACGGAAGAGTATAAGTCATTTAAGCGGCATTTCAACTCAAAACACCGCCCTTCTTTACATATGTTTTAAATTGCGGAGAATCATAGGAAAACGTATAGTCTAGCCTACGTTTTTCTTAGGTTCTTACTACGAAGCCATGTTCACACAGAATACATTGAAAGGAAGGGACGTGGGACGTTTAATAATGCATATGCGGCGATCCCGGCGTTCCATGTCCCGCCCGACGGCTACCGAAAATTCAACAATAGTTTTAGGAACAGGTTGTTTCGGGCAGACTCACACAAACCCAAATGATTTTCATGGTCATGACTTTGCAAGAAACACACTCGAAAGGCGCGACATTTTCTCAGTGCAGCCGCGGTATTATGTTCAACGACCGACAGCCCAGGGCCAGCGTCCAATCCGCTTAATCTGATTCCAGAACATATGTCATCAAACCTCTTGAATGCGACCATTCTGCGCGCCGAAACACGCCTCGAGAATTGTAAGTGTTATATGCCATTCACAAATGATGAAGGAATCCAGATGCATGCAATATGCCCGATCATCAGTCTCCGGTATAGTTATGCGGCTTTGGAAATTCAAATCAGTTACAAACAAGATAACGTATTTACGAGCACCACGATTTGTTCATACATCAATCGACTCGTTTAGTTAGCTGCTGACAGGCCTGATTTAGCACACGGAAGAAGCCTGCACGCCAGCGTAACATTTCATGAACAAGAAATATTTCTTCGCAAATCTGCGTACCGTCTGTAGACCTGATGAAATGTCTGCTCCTGGGCTTCAAACTCATTCTGTTCGTTAATTCACCTTTGGTGAGAGGCCCTTGGTTCAATTATCAGTTTTACTTATAAAAGTATAGTTCAATGGTCAGCAGGAGTAGCCTCCATGTTCGACTCCAATCCATTTAAGCCCATCAAAGACACCTTACAGCTGACACTGGCGTCATCTCTACTTGCCCCAACAGTAGTCGAACTTGGGCACCGGAGCACTCCCTCCCACTCCGACCCAAAAACCTCGGCCCCTATGCACCGGGCGGGCCAGCTCTCGCGCTCACCTGATTCCGTCAATCTCTGAGCGCATCTCCACCAGGCTGTCGCCGACCGTGGCCTGAGCGCGAATGTGGTCCGCTAGCTGCTGCAGCTCGGCCCTCATCTGCGTCAGGCCGTGCCGCAGCCGGTCAGGCTCGGCCTCGGCGCCGAGCCGCGTCTCCAGCCGCGACACCGTCTCCCGGTCCTGAAGCCGGCCCTTCTCCAGCGAGTCCACCCGCGCCGCCAGCGTCGCCAGCATCTGCCGCAGCTCCGGGTCGGCCGCCGCGCCGACCGCCGCCGCCGCCGCGCCGCCCGCCGCCGCCAGCGCCGCGCATAACCAGAGCAGCAGCGTCCGCACCATGTCTGCACCCGACCGTCGCGCGTCGCTTACTGAGCTCTCGCGCCGCGGCTGGCCGGCCGGCCGGACGGCGGCCGCCGCCTGGCAGATGGGCTCCGGAGGGGGCCTGCTGCACCCTCGACCGGTGAGTGGGGGAGGGCCGGGGTGGAGTCCGTGACAGCGAGGGAGGGCCGAGGGTGGTGTCCGCGAAACGGGCGATGGTGCTGGATGGCCGGCACGGGTGGTGGACGAAGAAAAGACAGATGTGGTTGTGCCGGAGAAAGGGAGCAGGACGTCGACCAAAGGAGAGGGATAGCCTGGGCGAAGTACGAGAATGAAGGCCAGGGCAACCTTAGATTGGGCGAAGACACAGTACTTGATCCATGACATGGTTTTAGGCCAAATATTCGCTTGAGAAATGTACATACGCGTAAAGCACGTATCTAATTTTTCGTAAACGAAGGTACGAGAGGCTTATATGGCGGAGGTACGTGTGCCAGAGTATATACACAAAGGCTCGGAGACAAATGGCCGTATGCTAGTAAGCGCATATGCAGTATATTCGTAAGGACAAAAGGTCATCGGGACAAAGGTTCAGAAAGAAGAGTTCGCAAGCTAAAGTACTGAGTTGTTGGAATACTTGTTCATACGCAAATGCTGACAACGTACAAAGTTTGCCTCATAAAGCGTACACAAAAGTTGGTAAGAACATGTGGTGTCACTAATAACTAACCAGAATAAGCCAACATGTCATTAATTATTGCGCAACTTCAAATGAAAAGCGAACTTTGACCTTCCAAAAACGTTACGGGGCCCAGTCATTTTGGAACAGATCTGCAAGTTTGTTCTGCAAAATACAGGTTCCATACATTGACCTCAACCAGCTCTCAACGTAAAGTTATGTATTCATGCTGTAGCGCTACCTTTCGACGCTTGTGTGGCCATGCTTTACGTCATGAGAGGCCAAACGACATACATTACATGCTATGTAGTGTTAGCAGATCAGACGGCACTGGACATATCAAACGACAGCATGCACCAATGCGAATTGAAATGTGCTACTTGAGGCGCCTGTGCGTCGCTATGTGAACGCTTTGACGAAAATGTGGTCACATTCGCAGTGGTAGCTCATCCGAAAGCCAATACCAAGTGTGTGGCTCTGCATGACAATTCACGGTACGGATCTGCATAGAAGCCTTTTAATGCACATGTTTGACAAACGAACTCTATCCTGGACAAACATCCGTGTGCGAACAATCAATAAATTTATGTTCCAATTTTTGCGAACTGACTTTTTTCAAGCAAACGTTATTCCTGACCAACATTTGTGCACGAGCAGTTGCGCTCTTTCCATAATGAACATGTACATGAAAATCTGCGTACGTACCTAAGCAAACGAGGTGTCTCCCTGACGAATATTTACGTACGAATAAATACAGGTGACCTATTCCATACAGAATTGTTTGCGCACAAATATTTACGATACCCGCCTGCCCCGAGAATTCCCCGGCGAGTATTTCCCGATGACCATTTCCCGCCGAACATTCTACCTTTCAAGATTCAATCCATGCAAAGTTTTGGCGTTACGAGTACTTTTTGTCCAACGCACCCAACCCTGACAAACTTTCCGCACACAAGCATGACTCTATGAGCATCAACCAAAGGGGCTTTTCTATGGAGCGTTTAACCTGTAAATGTGATTTAGACAAAGTTGAGCTGCCAAACGAAAGTAAGAGGCGGTGTAAGGGAGTGATAAGGACAAGGGGCCGTTTGAGGGCGGTTTCCTATGTGCCGCCCTCCTTCGCTTTAGCCGCCCATGCTTACTGCCATGTCTGTCGTGTGATGCACTGTCTATCATCCTTCTCACAGCGCAGAGCATTGCGATCTGTACAAAGCATCGCCCATTTGAGTTATACATACATTAGGGACCCCGCGAATGTATATTTTAGACCGGGACGTGTCAAGAACTTGAATTAACTTGGCCAATACATGTTTTTCTATGAATATTCAATACTCATTTAGAATCGATTAATGATGCAAATTACGCACGTTGTTTTGAACATGCGCGCTCGCAAATCTCAGACAAAAACCTCGACTCCAGGCGGTGCAGTCTCCGTAGACCGCGCGACGTCGGTTCCGTGGCTTACACTAAGCTGTGGCCAATGGGCGGACAAAAAGATGACGCATCGGAAAAAAGTGCCTTTGAAAGTTTTAAGACCTCGAATCGTGCACTTAGAAGGTAGTCCGGGCATATATTTCACCGGTGCGATTTTTAGAATGATGTTAAGAGCGGATTGGTATTTACAGCATTGCGATGTGGTGCTGGCTGGAATCTGGTGGTGGATCTGGAAGGGTGAAGGCAGAATCTCTATTTTTCGTGTGGCTGTCACTGTTTGGCCGCCCAGAGGGCAGCCTCGAAGTCGTAAACAAGGTATGTACAGCTTTTCTTTAATATATGAACTAATTAATTACGAATTAAGAGTTAATCTTGAGGGACATTCGGAAAAATTATTTCACGACGGTCGTTCTCGCGCGGAGTGCGTGGTGTTACTTGCAGTGGCCAACGCCGTTCGGTTTTAAAGAGATGCAACCCATCCATCGCTGTTCTCGCTTCCGAGACCTCGGGCGCGCAAGATCAAATCTTTTGATGTAATTTGCTTCACTAATCGAGTCTGCAAAAGGCATACGTTCTGAAGCCAATATGGGATGGTCTTGTTCGTTTTTTTAACTCATTTCGGCCCATTCTTTGCGACACTAATGAGACCCCTTATTTCTCTCCGGGCAGGGGCCTCTTGAGTAGAACACTAGGGGCGCATTATTGTTCCCGGTCAGGAGCTGAAGCGCCATTTCGTTCCACCGCGGGGCGCCTTCCTGCTGTCATTTTTGCGACATGGGGCGGCATCCCCTGGCCGATCCGGAGGCCCTTAGAGAGACATCATATTACATTGGTCCTTTCCCTACGTGGGGGGCCTTCTAAGCAGCACAGTTGGCCCCGGATCGACGCAGAAACCCTCACTGGCGCAACAACATCCCTGTTCACCGCAGGTGGTCCAATAATTGGCGCACATATTCCAGTTTAGCTTAACGGGCCCATACTGGAATTGCGTTGGAGGGCCCACCGTTCAGAACTGGTGGCCCTGACAGGCACAAGACCCTTCCATTGTCTCAACGTGAACGCTCAACATAAGTTATAATGTTCGCTTTCGTTATCAGAGGACCCCAACCAACGCGAGAGGTCCCCTGTCATTCGGAGTCCCGTTCATGTCCCTGTTGAGTAAATGAGCAACGGGGCCTGAAATAATACAGGAGCCCAACCATTGCTTTAAAAGGCCCAGACCAAAGCAAATCGCGAGCCCGACCCTGCCCCTGCTTGGGAAATGCGCCCCAAGAGCTCAGACCAACACGGCATCCGTCCCTCTCATCCCTGTCTTGCTTTATCCTGCAATCCTCGCGGCACCCCGCACACCCGGGGCAGGCTGCGTGCGTCAGCCAGGAGCGGGCCGAGAGGCCGGTGGGAAAGGAGACCTCGACCAGATACCCAGCGCGCATGCGCGGTTAAAGCTCGGTGGTTGGCCCCCCCCAGGGGCATGCTAGTCTGCTCCCCCGTTAACCATTTTCCTTCATCCCATATGCCATGAAATGATCATTTCTGGCCGAAAGGGCTCTAATCCAAAACAAAAAACAAAAACACCGATACTGAGCCGACTGTTCATTGCTGGCAACCTATGGCCGAAATAGAGAAACGCTCCGTCTCAGGGGTACTGAATCGGTACAAGAGACCCTCTAACTGACATTTCAGAGCATGGCCCTACGAACGGGGTCCTTAATGTGACCCTCTGACCCTCAGGCAGCCCTTCGGGCGCTTCAGTCTTCCAGTCAGGCCCTTCATATTTGGTCACGATGTGCCCTTTGCGTCCCCCCCCCCCTCGGACCTCCTCAAACAAACCCGTGACAGAATTGGGGCCGCTAGCCGACACATGACTCCCTGTTAGGCACTGTGGGCTCCTGACCGACACAGGGGCATCAGTCATTGTTTCGGGGAACCAGACCAAGGCAAGTCGTGGCGCCGGCCTTGCTCTTGCTTGGGAAATGGCTCCTCAGGGTTTCAGACTGACAGGGAACCAAATGTTCGGTGCTCGTGGTGTTTGGCCGACCGAGACAGCTTTCATTGCCTCAGGGGTCTCAAACGGTGCAAGAGGACCTCTGACTGATATTTTAGGCCAAGGCCACACGGGCCGTGATTCTACGTTATCTACAGCCAGTTGTTCAAGATGCCGTCCAATCGAGCCCTTAATCGTCAGTTCCGTTGGGCCGCCCGGGCTCCTCTTCGGGCCTCATCGAACACTGCCCTTATTCGGCTCGAGCCGCTTGCAAACCAGAACCCTACTGTTAGGTGCTGCGGGGCCCTGACAGATACAAGGGCCCCGATCAGTTTAAATTGCTGGCCTCGGCTTTATAGCTGATTGGGACGGGGCTCTCAGGCTCATGTCGATACGCAGCTGGCTGTGCGATACTTGTGATGTCCGATCGACATGTAGGCTCATATCGACTCAGGGGGTCCCCGATCGGCGCAATGGCTCCCTGACTGCCATTTGAAGCCCGTGTCCGCAGACTGGAGCCCCTGAATAAGACCCAACCAGCCCTTCGTGTACTTAAGCTCCAATCGGGCCCTTGGTTGCCGGTCTCGGTGAGCCCTCCAGGTTCACCAGGTCTCCTCGAGAGTGCCTCTGGCCTACTCGGAGCCCCTTGCCAACAAAGGTCCCCTGTTAGGCGCTGCGGGGCCCTGATAGACACTGGGCACCCGTCCCATGTAAATCGCTGGCGCGTGCTTGGTCCCTGCTTGGGGAATGGGCCCTCCGGCCCATGTTGACACGGAGCTGACTGTGTGTTATTGGTGGTGTCTGACCGGCATATAGGCACTTATCGACTCATGGGACCCATGATCAGCGCGCAGGGCCCTCTGGATGGCATTGAAGTGCACGGCCCTGGGGGCCGGATCCTGAATACGACGCTCGGCTGGCCTTTCGGGCCCCTCCGGGCCCTCAAATATGGCTCTCCTATTGGGCCTTTCATCGTGGGTCCTGAGGGGCACGGAAGGCCTTTCGAAACCTAGGGAGGACGGGCTCGTTTTGCCACCCCTGCCTGCCTGCGCCACTGCTCACGACCCAGCGGCGGTTAACGGAGTACAGCACGTGCAGGTCACGAGCGCCGAGAGGCCTGACCTGGCCGGATTACTGACAGACAGGAAGGGCAGACCTGGAAGGCAGCGGGAACAGGTCTGTGTAGTAACAGGCGGAAACAGTCAGACCTCCATGACAAGTTTGGACCAGACCGTGCTTAGCGCGGCAAGAGCAGGACACTACGGACCAGGGGCGGAACCGGACTGTACTGGGAGCAGAGACGGATATAATGGTACAGGAGAGATTAAAGAACAAGAAAGGACTAGGACCAGAGACAAGACAGCCGGCTCGGGACCAGCTCAGACGTGAATGGGCCAAAATAAACCGTACAGAATCGGACTGGGTCGGATCAGACTAAACTGGACCAAACCCGACCTAGCAGACCAAAGACAAGGGCGTAAGGTCACGTCCAGACTGGACTGGAACGGACCTGACTAGATTGAAAGGAACCGGACCGAACCAGACTAGACTGGACCAGAACCAGACCGTACTGAACCGGCCCAGACATGATGGCATGACGAGACTTGTCGCTTGGTGGGTTAAACCTGTCGACCGTCGCGACTCATTGATTAGGATAATCATGTATAATTGCTGATTTATTGGACTATATCACTGTTTTGCTTCAGAATCACCTTGGTTTGGGGAGCCACATCAGATTGGACACATTGATAAAATGTCATCAGCAGTTCTGCCCCTCCTAATGTCCGGCCGGAGGCGGCCGTACCCGGCCAGTCCTGCCGTTGTAGGCCGTTGCCGACCGCTGTAGAACATTCTACGAACGACAAAATAATTTGCCTGATATGGTAGCTTTGAATGTACTTTAATCTCCGCAGATGAGGCAGTTGAAAAATTTCCGTAGTAGTGGAGGGTGATGGCAGACGTTCTTACATCCATTTTTCATTGAGCTTTTAATCACTGGCGGAGGGAGGTGCCCGCATTGCTGTCGCGGAGTGAAACTGCCTGTGTTAAGGAAGGTATGCAATCTGCTAATGCTCGTACAGGAAGAGCATGTGTATGCTTTGTAAGGTGTCACGAAAATGCTAAATGAAGTGTGTAATTCAAGGTGTAATTGTGTGTGGGATTGTCCGAAAAGATGTTACGGTGACTCGACTCTTCCATGACTGTGCAGAGCTAATGATACTCACAGGTCATACACCAATGCAATTTGATAGTAAATACGTGACAGTCTTGGTCATACATGTGTTAGGAAATTGAGGGCAGTCCAGGACAAGTAGTGCAAAACAAAGTTGGCCATCAGTGGCCCTTTAATTCTTTGCTCCTCACACACTTACCCCACCCCCTACAGTGTGTGTATGAGGGCTTGAATCAAAGCAGGCTACCTTAGTGTTGATGTCACTGCAGTTTAAGTTCACATTATCACTGTTATGTTGTTACTTGGGTGCTGATGTCACAGCATAGCTGGCCCAAAAATTTTTTAAAGGTGCCCTTCTTGTAATCAACATTTTTTTTGTCAAAAGCCTTTCTGGCAACTACTTTTTCCTCAGAAGCGAGAACAAAATTGGATCTTGAGTGTTAAACTTCAGAACATTCTGGGAAAAAAGCTGTCTTAAATCAAGCAGCCACTGTGGCATGATAAGATAACATATTTGCTGTATATCACACCAAGCTTCTATTGTGCATGTTTGAGGTGGTTCATTCATAGCATTGTACCAGAGCATTAACTTAGTACATGTCCCAGAATGAATGCTAGCACAAAAGTTTTTGAAGCTCAAACCTATTCTTCAGGCATAATGTTTAAATTTTACTAATTTTCAGTAAAAGAGAAAGCTTTTATGCAGTATCCACAACTTTGTTCCATAGGTTATTGAACATGAAAGGCCATGATTTTTTAGTGTGTGTACCAATGGGTATGAATAAAATACAAAAATGAGAACAAAACTCTATACATAACTCATGTCAATATAAAGTAACCACTGATACAACACCAGCAAGCCATTTAATTGCCACAGAATGCCAATCAACCTGCCAGTGGTGTTCAGTGCTACACATTACAGTCCTCAATTCAACAAGATTCACTGTACTTTCATGCTCTATGATGTACAAACATGTTACAAGTAGATTTATTTAGAAGTTATCCTTTTATTTGTAATAACATCTTACTAGCAATTAAAGATACTACACTGTCATGAAGTGGGGATGGATCCATGATATGGCAGCCAATGCATTCAGTGATTAAATCAGTCAGCTATCAAATCAATTTTCAGTCATTCATATGCAATCATCCATAATTTAGGACTGTTTGGTCACCAGACAGGGGTCCTAATAAGACCAGGGACTGCCAGGCCTAGAAGCCGTCTATGATTACCAGTGATCATAAGGCAAGGTAGAGGAGGCAAGGTATTTTGAGAAACATAACATCAAGATTATAGAGTGCAAATTTTTAGAAGAAAACTCCCAAGATCTCAGAATCTAGAGAAGTGCCCAAAATGCTTGCCTTGAGTGGAATGCTTGTCTTCCTTTAGAAAATGGTTTTCAGTGAAGGTGGAGTTTAAGCTGGCTTACAGCAAAAGCTTGCATGGTATTTTGTTAAGCACCAGTACTCTTTGATGTGGATGCAAATAGTTAACAGATGTATAAATAGATATGGTACCTGGCCTGACAGTGGTGGACTATGCAAATGCTGTGGAATTTTAGCCTTTGCTTTATCACACAGCAAGCTGGTACCAATCCCAGAACCAGCCAAGCTTCTTTAGTTCTAGGTTCATACAGATGCATGCAGATTGGTGCCATCACTGATGCCTGCACCCATCTTATTGAAATTTTAAAATTCTAGAGATTATGGACATGCTGCAACATGCCACATTTCTAGCCTGTATGTGATTTGTTTGGGACCCATTTCCTTGGGTGGTAATATCACCAGATATTGGGGGATGCTGCCATGACTCAGCTCCCCAGCTCTGCTACCAATGAATGCAACTTACTTTTTAGAGAAGGGTTAGTTCTACACATGATGAATATTCCAGCTCCAAAGTGGTTTAAATTGGTAATGGAGCATGCTGACACCCTGTGGTCCAGCCACATACATCATCATACCACCACCTCATGCTTAGCAACCTCCACAAGCACCAAGACTATTTTTATGCGTTCTTCATCGCATAAGTCCTGAATAAATGTCAGATATGTTGAAGTTGAGTCTGTTTCTGGGCCTTCACACCACTGCTTCCCATCATATACCACTGAATTGCACACCATTGTGTGCCAGCCGCCGCTGGCCTCCGCTGATGCTGCGCTTGTTTCAGGTGGGAGACAGCCATGGGGAACGCGCAGAACCGCGAGCGCGGCCAGTCGGTCAGCTCTGCCTCGCCTGTCACGCGTACCGCCGTTCGCCGAGTCGGCCTTCAGGTGAGGGGGGCAGGGGTGGGGCCGGGTCTCAAGGGTCGCTGGGGGCACCGCCGTCAGCCGAGTCGGCCTTCAGGCTGGGGGGGGGGGGGCAGGGTGGGGCCCGCGTCTGAAGGGTCGCTGGGGGCAACCGCCGTCGCCGAGTCGGTCTTCAAGTGGGTGCAGGGGCGAGCCAGTCGTGGAGGGTCACTGGGGGCAACTGCCGTCGCCGAGTCAGCCTTCAGGTGAGCTTTGTGTACTCCGGGGCGCGGATGTTCAAGGTCACCAAAGAACTGTACTGAGGTGGATGGTATGTGCATGCATAGTTTGAGCAATACATGCTTCTTTTTTTTTTGCTTCCTATGAAATATAGCTCCGCCGTCTGTTACGGCTGAGCTTTGTTGGATATGATGGCCTCAGCATTTGCATGCTCAGTGTCTAGCTGGGACGCCGCGTCCACGTGACGCATTGGCGTGGCGAGCTGGCCGTTACCGGCTGCTGTAGGGCTGTGTGTGCGTGCGTGTGTGTGGGTTAGGGGGGGGGGGGGGGGGGGGGTGCGTGTGTGCGTGTGTGTTGACCAGGTCTGTCCCTGTCTGAGGACCTGCAGCGCTGCTTCTGGCAGATCATGCCCAGCCACCCCTCTAACTCCACCAATCGGACACGCGCCGCCGCTAACCCTCCCGTCCGCCGCCAGCTTCGACCAGCAGCAGCAGCGGCGGCGGCCGTCGCTGGCGCTGCATGACGAGGACCCGCTGATGCTGCCGCTGTCGCGGCGACGCGTCAGCGAGGGCGTCGAGGCGACGGCGCCGCCTAGTCAGCCGGCCGCGCTGCTCATGCACCAGAACTCAGCGCCGTGCGGCGTGCCCGGGCTGCCGGCCGAGCAGCCGGCCTCCGCGCCGCTGCTGCCCGTCGTCATCCAGTGGAAGAAGGGCGGCCAGGACGTGCAGCTGTGCGGCACGTTCACCGGCTGGAAGCCGATCCCGATGGCGCGCAGCGAGAGCAACATGAACTCGGAGCACATGAGCATCGTCAACCTGCCCGAGGGCCGGCACGAGTACAAGTTCCGCATCGACGGCGAGTGGGTGGTGGACGCCAGCGAGCCCACCACCGACGCGCCCGCCGGCGACAAGAACAACTACATCACCGTCAAGGGCTCCGACTTCGCCGCGTGCGAGGCGCTCAACCTGGAGACCGTGCAGACGGGCGACATGTCCGGCTCGCCGCCGGGGCGGTACGGCTGCGAGCCGCCGCCCACGCGCGCCGCGTCCTGGGACCACCGCTCGCCGGCGCAGCCGCCGGCGCTGCCTCCGCACCTGCTGCAGGTCATCCTCAACAAGGACACGCCTGTCTCCTGCGAGCCCACGCTGCTGCCGGCGCCCAATCACGTCATGCTCAACCACCTGTACGCGCTGAGCATCAAGGAAGGTGTGATGGTGCTCAGCGCCACGCACCGCTACCGCAAGAAGTACGTGACCACGCTGCTGTACAAGCCCATCTAGGGCGGGCCGGGGCAAGGCACCCCGCGCCCGCTCTGCTGGGGAGGGAAGCGGGGCTGTCGCTGGCGGGTAGCCCGTCGGATTGGTGCGGAGTACTGTGGGAGGTGCCGCGGCGTGATCCGAGAGAGGTAGGGAAGTCTGTGATGGCGGAGGTATACGCGTGCGGGCTGGACAACGTATGCTTTGCCAGAAGGCGATGGGGATATGACTTGGGAAGCAAAAGCTATCAGTATGGCAAGTAGCCACCGCTTAGGAACTAGTCACAGCATTTTTAGTCTTCAGATATGCTAAGATGAACGATATTTGTTGTCGGATTGTTTGTAATTTGTTAGTCTCGTCATCGCTGCCGTGTGCAGTATCCCTTGAATATCTGGTGCGATTTTCCGTTCGATAATGTCTCTCTCCACGCCCGGTAGGCGTCTAGGCCGTAAATTCGACAAATTCCACGTGAAAGATTTAGATGTACCGTTTGGAAGCCGCGTAAATTCCCGAAAAACCTATCTGTAGTTTTGTGCCCTTCGATGTACTGAGTTCATCGCCTTATTGCCTCCTGACAATCAGCCCTTGAGCGGGTACAGGGGCGGTTGAAAGCCTCGCTATCGACTCTGATGGTGCAATATTGCTGGCCAGTCGGCGCGTGCGTGACCTCGGCGTGGCGCGTCGCCGATGCCTTGGGTCGTTCGGTTCACGCCCGATGCTTTGCTCTCCGCTCGGAGGCAGCACCACGCGTTCAGTTCACGCCCGATGCTTTATCTCCGCTCCGGGGGCAGCACCACGCGTTCAGTTCACGGCGATGCTTTACTCTCCGTTCCGGAGGCAGCACCATGCGTTCAGTTCTCGCCCAGCTTTACTCTCCGCTCCGGGGACAGCACGACGCGTTGTTCTCGTCCGGTGCTTTTCTCGCTCGGGGGCCGCAGGGCAGCACGAGCGTTCAGTTCTCGTCCGATTGCTTTACTCTCCGCTCCGGAGACAGCACGACGCGTTCAGTTACGCGCGATGCTTTACTCTCCGCTCCGGGGCAGCACGACGCGACGGTGCTCGTGTAGGTGTAGGAGCGCCCAGCGGCGAGGGGTCTCGCCGACGCTGGAGCTGCCGGCGCTTTGAGCCAGCGCCCTTTTCGTCGTTCGCGCCTCGCTTGCCTGATCCTCTCCGCATCGTCATGTCCAGCACCTGTGCGTGGGCCAGGGTCTGGTCCGTGATCGGGTTTTGGTGGGCGTACAAACGGTTGGTCTCTCCCGCCGCTACTCAATAGCAGAGCGACATCAGGGGAATGGGCGCGCAGACTTGATGGCGTCGTGTCGTGATCTTAGCCATTACGCCAGACAAGTATTTATCTAGTTACGTCCGTGCGTACAGATTGCGATGTGTGAAATAAGTACTGCGAAATAAAAACGTTTTATACGTATCCGTGTTCAGCGGCGGGGAATCGTTGCATCGACTGGCGCGATCCAATGGCACCCATTAAGTTCAGTTATCTCAGTCGTGACGCCAATGCCACTTCGTGGTGAAATTTAAGTTGGTTCGGTGGTTCTGGGGCGGTACAGAGGCCCCCCCACCACCCGTCGCACTCAGCTCCATGGTGTGCGACACGCGCGCGAATGGCCCTGAAACGGACTGTATTCAACCGGTACGACGCGATCCGAACCACGCGGTTGAGGACCCTAAATGACGTGTTGGGAAGCCTCATGTCCAGTGTGGCGCGATTCCCAACTAGACGCGGATGGCTGTTGCATGTGCGCCCCTGGCCCCAGCCAGTCAGGAGACCGCATCACTGCCAGTTACGTTTGGTGTCCAGCGCGCCACTGGAAACGGGCTGTAGCAGCTTAACCTGCAGAGTACAGTCCGCGTGGGTCAAGCGGGAAGAGAACAGACAGGTGTTCGCATCGTTGGCACACTTTCCAACCATCTGTGGTGCACGCTATTGCATGACTAGAACGACCCCTGATGCGTGCTGCGCCACGCGAAGCGCCAACAAAAACCACCGCGGAAGCAATGCAGCATATATTCCACCGTTACATGTCAGCTGTCGAATAGTACAACAGTACGGAAGCCGTGTTGGCGGTCGACCCTGCAAGATTCGGTCCGTTGACGGGACCTTTTACTCCCCGGAGCGACATCCCCGGAGCACGAGCCGACGAAGGCAGCTCGGCCCAGAGCGGCGCCACACCGCCGACCGGGCGCCGAAGCGGGGCGGATAGCCACAGGAAGATTTTTTTGATCGATGGATACGTGACACACCAAGCACAGTGGGCGCGTAGGTTTTCATACATGTTACTGCAGCGCCGGCGCTTCTGCCAAGATGCACGGTTACTTGCACTCGGCGCGACATCTACAGACCACAGACATCGACGCCTGAAAAAGTTCTCCCACTTCTGCCCTCAGCCTATTCAGCCCTTGCGATTCGCGTGGGTTTGGGCAGATGGTGGTTCACTGGTGGGGAAAGGGGCCCACCTGGCACGCGGCACACCACATTCACGTAAAAGCAATCGGTGCATTATCAGGTATATAGCGCAACTTACCCGGTAGACATCTCTTTGGCGATATTTGTTCTCAGTTCTTTCGGAAAAAGTACAGCACTCGCCGTTTTAGGACTTAACAATAGCCTCGTCGCGTGAGGTAAAACTAACTTCGTTCATGAATCTAGCAATCATGCTACGACGACACCTTAAATAAATGTTTTTGTCGCTGGCATCGGCACAGCGCGGACCT